TTTAGGGTTTAAGGGTTTAGGTTTTTGGGGTTTAGGGTTTAGGAGTTTAGGCGTTAGGGGTTCAGGGTTTAGGTTTTAGAGTTTAGGGTTTAGGGTTTCGGGGTTTAGGGCTCAGAGTTGAGGATTTTGGGTTTTGGTTTTGGTTTTGGGTTTAGGGTTTCGCGGTTTAGGGCTCAGAGTTGAGGGTTTATGAAGGCTTTACGGCGCTGTTGAGTTCGGGGTTGCAGGTGCCTTCAAACTTCGAGTATATAAACCGTGAAGTCACAAGACCCGGAACCCTACCTCGAATTGTAGACATACCTTGACAGGGCCTTGACAGTTGAATTAGGGTTTAGGGTTTAGGGTATCGGCAATTGAAGAATATGATGGTATTTAACACCTGGTGCTATCTTCAACAAGAAAAGTCTGGGAGTATACTGACGTATGGAGAAGTAGGGACTATAAGGCTATGGGGTTAGCTATGGTGCCGCTATACATAGAATAGGGGTTTGGAGGAGCTCTGTTTTAACTACTTACATTAGGTAACCCTTCAGGAAACCCGAAACTCTGAACCCTAAACCCTAAACAACCCTAAACCGCTTGCTAGTTACTCAGATCCCTAGAGAACACGGCTTGCCAGGAGGTGCCTGCGTGCTCCCAAGGTGGGTCTCACGTAAGGGGTCAGCCCTGGGTCCGAAAAAAGTTAGCGGCTAGCGATGACATATCCCGTTCATGAAGGTAGAGGGTTTAGGGTTTAGGGTTTAGGGTTTGGTATATGTATATATATATATATACATACATGTAGACATATATGTATGTGAACATATAACTATGCTGTTTATATGTGTATTCCCGAAAAGGTCGAAGTTTACCCGCCCAGTGCCTAAACTTAACAATAGAATACAAGGCAAAACAAAAACACACTAACCAAACCCAACAAACCCCAAACCCACACCTTGAGCAAGCCGAACACTTGCCACTCCAAAACGCCACAAGAAAACAAACCTGAAACCCCAAACTTCAGAAAACTGCAGTGGTCTTAAGGGTTAGAATAGGGTGTTCGGGTAGAGTGTAGCAGCTGAAATTTTGCAGAGACTATATGGGGGGGGGTCTTACACCCTAAACTCCTCAACCCTTTAAAGCCTACACCAAGCCTGCACAATACCCCGACGCAACCCTTTCACGTTCTAGCAATGCTTTGTATACCAGCTCATATGAAGCCCTTATGAAAGCCCTGTGATAAGCATCCTTAACCATCCAACTATACTATGATGTATACTCAACCCTGTTCTAACTAGTAGATTAAGGTCTTCTTCACCGCTTCTGGAAGTATATGCGCAGAAACAAGTAGCTTGCAGAAGCCCAAACCCCTAAACCCTAAACCCTAAACCCAAAAAAGGATTCAAAAAACGGGGCCTCCCAGCTGCCTTGCGGCTGGGGAGGCGCAGGGTGCCCTGGCCGTCCCACCCAGCTAACCAAGCGGTGTAGGGTGTAGGATTTAGGGCTTAGGGTTTTAGGGTTTGGGGTGTAGGGTTTAGGGTTTAGGGTTTAGGGTTTTAGAGTTTTAGGGTTTGGGGTGTAGGGTTTAGGGTTTAAGGTTCAAGGTTTAGGGTTTAGGGTTTAGGGTTTAGGGTTTAGGGGATTTGGGATTATAGAGGCCTCAATCATGAAGGGGTCTATAGGGGCTGCGACAAGGGTTTAGCATCTCATTGCCAGGCCCATTGATGGAGGAGTGATTCCGTTAAAATCAGTAATTACCATAGTACAAACAGAGATCCAATATGATTTTCATACCTTTAGAGATTTGGGGTCCAGGGGTTTTTGGGTTGAATGCACGGACATGCATGGAGGTATGCTGCATGTCTGTGTCGAACGGTCAAGATGGCGGTGGATTTTCCTACAGCTGCATATACTTATGACAAAATCGCAACCCCAATCTGCCGTATGACATGCGAGTGGCCGTGGTTTGGAGGTTTCCTGCAAAAAAATCTGAGCGGGACATCAGCCAGGGCTTAGGAGGTTTACGGTTTAATCGGTTTTAGGATTCAGCGGGGCTGCCGGTCCTCAGGGTTACCGCACGGCTTGCCCACAGACTTGCTATCAAGCTTCGGTGTTTACGAGGCCGCGGAGTGGTCGTCGATCAATCAAAACCTTCCCCCACTGCTTCTTTGCCCCCGTTTGCTCTGATGGAAGGAACGTGCCTCCAGCTTTCCTGCAGGGCACTGTTTGCCAGCAGCGCAAGCCTGTCGAAAAAATCAAGAAAGAGAGGTTTCGCTGTGGTTGGAATGATTAAGGTCCTACTTGGGCTTTCCACAAACATGCTTGTAGCTGCTTATAGCCCGGATGTCTTCAACATCCACGGATTGAGGGATCCTTGACCCAGATCCCTCATACCTTGAAGAGTCATTCAGCCACACACTTAGAGCCCGTAAAGAAGGGGTCTTTATCAGGGGCACCTGTCATCTCGTCGAGATGCGCTTGTGTCACCCGACTAGCATCGGCAACGAGGACACAAGCATGCAGAAGATTACCGAAATATCCGAAACCCTAGACGACAATCAGCCAAATCCCCCAACCCCAAACAACACAGACCCTGCACCCTAAACCCAGATCTGGTCGCCGTTTTTGTAACCCTTACAGTAATCTTGATAATAAGCCACAACACTGGCCCATTGAATTCCTGCAGCTCTTTCGCGTGCACTCGTGGCGGCGTCAAGGCGGCGGCGGGGACGCTGGCCTCTGTCTTTCATTCGGATTATGAGCGTGTTGCTCCAAGATGCTTTCTTGAATGTTTTCTTGGATTTAGGGTTCAACCCTGAACCCCAAAACCCCAAAACCCCAAAACCCTAAACCGTTTCGGGTAGTGTTTGGTCACCCTAAACCCCGCAACCCCAAAACCCTAAGCCACTTAGGGTAGTGTTTGCTTGTGGATGAGGGTATACCCTAAACCCTAAACCCTAAGGCTTGGGGTTGAGGCTTCACCACGCTTTAGGGCCTTCCTCTGCCGTGGCCCGGGGCCTAAAAGAGGTCAGTTTACCATGGGAGCCTTTAAAAAAAAACAATACTATCTTTGGGGCTCCTTATTATATTTATAGTGTTTTATACCAATACTATTTTGGGGACTCCTTATTATGGTTATAGTATAATACACTACCACAAAAGACCAAAACCCTGCAAGACAAGGCCAGGGGGCGTAAGACGCGTCAAGCAGCAGAGACCCAGGTAGCGACATCGACCGAGCCTGTCCCGGCTAAAGGTCTGTGCTAGAGTAGGGGCCTTAAAAATTAGAATAGGGTTTTGTTTTTTTTTTGGGGGGGAGGGGTTCCTTATTATAATTATAGCACAATATACCTTAAAATTAGAGTAAGGTTTTTGGGGTGCTCCTTATTACAGTTATAGTACAATATATCCCAAAACCCTAGTCTAATTATTAAGGCCCCTACATTGTGCGGGCTTTAAGGTTTAATGGCTCTGGCTGCAGGTTCGAGGTTAAGGGAAAGTTTAGGGTTTGTGATTTGGGGTTAGGGTTAGGGTTTGGGTTAAGGGTTAAGGGCTTAGGGTTTAGAGTTGAGAGTTTAGGGTTAGGGTTCACAGTTGAGGGTTTAAGGGTTAGGGCTTCCGCTTTATGGCTGAAGTCTTCATACTAGGGCAAGAAGCTTCGGGTTCCGGGTGCTTCGATTCAGCTCGGGGCTTCCATGGCACTTATTTATTAGGCGATACAGATACGACGGTGCCTAGAATCACAACATGGGTAGTTCTCTAAATTAGGGTCCCTCTTGGTGGCCTTTTGTAGTGGAGTGAGACCAAATTAAAAGGGATCCTAATTTGGAGAACGACCCATATAGGGGCGCTAAAGATGCGAAGAGGGTTTCGGGGCCACTGGGACATGGTGCCATGAGGATCTTATCGCAAATTATACCGACCCGTGGAGTTCTTGCTCGTCTCTCCGAAGGAATATAGTAAGCTCCAAAAAGTTGGAAACCGGATTAAGGACAAATAGTGCTGGGCTTCCCTATACAGTACTCTTAGGGATTGAGGCTATTCGGTTTCCAACTTTGGGGCTTCTATTATAAATCCTAAACCCTAAAGCCCAATATCCGAGATATACATTCATCAACATTCCGAAAGAGCCCTGCATGCATTCAGAAATGTTACCCTGAACCCTAAACCCTGAAACCCTAAACCCTCCACCCTTTAGGGTTTTAGGGGTTTCTAGTTTAGGGTTTAGGGTTTAGGGTTACCTTATTGCCTATACTATGGGATGCGCATTCGATCATTCTTGTGAGGGTCATGATGGTCCTAACGGGTTAGGTTGAAAGGCTTTGGGTTCTTACTCTTCGGAGTTCGGATGAGGGGAACATTTTGGGGATATAGACCCTCTCAATAAGGTCCCTTATAAGAGAGCCAGAAGTAGGGTAAAGAAGGTCCCCTTTAAGGGGTCGAACTGTCATAGGCTAGATTTGAGTGTTGGGCTATGTTTATGGAAGTACTGGGCCTGAAGCCTTAATAACTAGAATAGAGTTTTGGGGTGGAGCGGACTGAACGTCTGGGCGAGCAAAGAAAAGCAGAGTGTCTGGTGCACCCTCTTGAATATAGACCCTCAGAGCAAATTAAGCTCTAAGAATCGAGTTTTGGGGGTATATTATACTGTAACTATAATCAGGAACCCCCAAAATAGTTTCGGTAATCATTTAGGCTCCAGAAGTAACTTCCTGGCGTTATCGGGACATTCGGCTTCAGGCTGCCGGGGATATCAGAACCCACAACCCCCAAAGTAGCCTCAGCGGCGTACTACGTGCATAAAACCCGAAACAGGCCTACGGCCTAAACCCTAAGCCCACAAACCATCCTAAACCCTACACCCAAAGGCCCTGCACCCTAAACCCCTTAAACCCCAAACCTCAAACCCCAAACCCTCAGCCTGACCCTAAATCCGTAAACCCCCACACCCCTGAACCCTGAACCCCTCAACCCGAAACTCCTAAACCGGAAAAAAAAAGTTCAGGGTTTAGGGAACCCCTTCGCCCCCGTCTTCGCTCTAAGCTTACCGGGGTGCGCACGTTCCGCAGCGCGCGAGACGCCTGGCAGCGGGCAGCGATGGCCTCGGACTGAAAGCTTGCAGATAAGAAGAGGATGATCAGGTCGAAAGGTCCAGGGTTTGGGGTTTAGGGTTTAGGATTTAGGGTTTACGGTTTAGGGTTTAGGATTTAGGGTTTAGGTTTTAGGGTTTAGGGGCCTTAAGGGTCAGAAGATGGCTCTCTTAAAGGGTTTATATGGGTTACTCTAGGAGCACAGCGGCCTAAATCACAAGAAGAGGGCTCCTGCAAAAGGCTCCGCAGGGATTCTACAGCATGGATGTTGGGGGGTTTAGGGTTTAGGGTTTAGGGCTCCTTCAAAAGGGTTTGAGATGAAGTCACGGGTTACAAAAAGCAATTGGAATAGAGCTTTGGGGTAGAGCACAATACAATCTTTTCAACCTTTACCTGCCTCGAAGGCTCATGGCCTTCTGTGGGTAAGGCTGGGTAGTTCTCTGAATTAGGGCCCCGTTTAGGGCCCCCTTGATAAGGGTGCCGTACTATGTTGGGACCTAAAAAGGGACCTTAATGTAGAAAACTACCCTTATGGTTGGGGGACTACAACCACTTACACACGATAAAGGAACTCCTATCCAGACTTATGGCTGTCCATGAGCACGGTTTTCTGTTGAGGAAGTTATTCCAGCTTACCATAACAGGGATCTGTAGTAAATAATGGGGCTTCCTTGTTGTCGTAACTTACATTAAATTACGTCCCTTATGCTTATAATAGAAGAAGCCTGTCAAGTACGGTCGCCCAGGAAGGAAAGCAACGCTTTGCGTCGGTTCCACTGGATGCGCCGCCTCGAAGTCTGCAAAACCCAAACCCTAAACCCTA